ACGTGACGTGAACCTGACGAGAACGTGGCAAAAGCATGACGAGAACATGAAGAGAACACTGGTAGAACCTTTCGTTCTTGAAGCGTACTGTCCGTACGCACTTTTTTGAAGCGTGCAAGAGCCAATGTGCTTCTTTCATCTTTTCTAAATGCAAGCACATAGACGTGACGGGAATGTGAACCAGAACGTCAGGATATCGTGACGATATCGTGACGATATCGTGACGATATCGTGACGTTATCGTGACGATATCGTGACGATATCATGACGATATCTTGACGATGTCGTGACATGATATTGTGACGAGAGGGTAACGAGACCGTGACGACACTATGACAAAAACGTGACGAAAACGTGGCAACGGCGTGCTGATTTCCGACCTGCGGTGACGTCTCCATGACGTCTTTCGTGAACGTCACTGGCGTCTGTATCATCTTCGTCTCTTGTCTCTGCGTTGTTAGCATATCGAAGGAAGGTGCGGGGCTTCTTTCGAGCCCCTTTGATGCCAGACCGCGACGCCCCACGTCCTGTCTCTCTCGCACTCATTGGGCCGCCGCAGAGGCGTTGGAAACCGCAGACTGATTCCGAGAGTCCTTTTCGTCGCTCTGTCCCTCTCGCTCCTTGTACGGGACGCCCCATGAGTGCGAGAGAGACAGAGCGACGAAAACGGACTCTCGGGATCGGTCTGCCCCTTCGCAGCCAGACGTGTGCCGTTCCCCTCTGTGTGCCCGAGGGGTCCCTGATTCCTGATCCAGACCAGCGGCCCCGTGAGCCTTGATCGCGGCGGTGTGTCTGTCTGTCTCTCTGTCTGTCTGTCTGTCTGTCTGTCTGTCTGTCTGTCTGTCTGTCTGTCTCTCTCTCTCTCTCTCTCTCTCTCTCTCTCTCTCTCTCTGTCTCTGTGTGTGTGTTTGTGCGTAGGTGTGTGTGGGTCTGTGTGTGTGAATGTTTTTCCGTTGTTGTTCCCTCCGAGGTACATGGGACAAGGTCCAGCCCTTCCTAACGACGGCCGCCAAGGCCCCCCGCGGACCATGAGAGAGAGAGAGAGAGAGAGAGAGAGAGAGAGAGAGAGAGAGAGAGAGAGAGAGAGAGAGAGAGAGCCGCTCCGCGCCTGGTGATCACGAAGCCATAAGTCGCCCCTCTCTTCCCCTCCCCTCCCCTCCCTTCCCACCTCTCCCTCACCTGCCAGCCTTCGCACACGGTTAATCGGTGGCCCCTGAGAACTTTACCGCCGAGATTACGCGCATCAGGGCTTTAGGCTGGAAGGGCTTACGGCGTAATGATGGCGCTGCACTGGAAAAGACAACAAACCGAACAAAACTCGGAGACTCTGCGTTTTGAGCTCCAGAGTCGCTGAATGGGACCCAAACCGAACGTGTGACTCCGCCAATGGATTGCTCTCCGACGAGGAATCCATTGGTGGGGTCACACGTTCGGTTCGAGTCCCATTTAGCGACTCTGGAGCTCAAAACGCGTCTGGAGTTTTGGCCGCCTCCACCGGCCTTCTGGCCCACTGTGCGTTGTGTATGGGGCTCCTGGTAGGCCCGGGCAGCTCTCTAGGCCCGCTAGGCCGCGGCGGGACGCACAGTTCGCTTTCTCCTCGAAAGGTTTCGACTCGCTTTGAATACAGCTTGTTAGTGGCCCACCCCCCCCCCCTCCCCCCCTTTTCCCCTTCCCCCCCCCCTCCCCCCCCCCCCCCCCCCCCTTCCCCTCCCCTCCCCCCTTCCCCTCCCCCCCCCCCTTTCCCCTCCCCCTTCCCCTCCCCTCCCCCCCCCCCCTCCCCCCCCCCTCCCCTCCACCTCCCGTGCATCTAGTTAGTTGCCCCAATTAGCGTGGAGCGTCGACTCTCCCGGATCAATGGGCAAATGGTCCTGAGCAGTCGTCATCAATAGACAACGGACGAAAAGCTTGACCCCCTCTCGTCCGCGCTGGCTACGCTGGTTCGTCCGTTGGCGCTCTTGGGTGCTGTTGGGGCGGAAACGTGGCCGGCCTGGCCGGCACGTGGCAGCGAACTTATGTTAGATTATGTTGGCTATTTACACTGCAAGTACAGAAAAACTACGGAACACGAGGGGGTAAAGACTCCAAGAGATCGTGTACAGAGTACTCGGTATTACGCTGTATTACGGGGATATTCCACGTGTGTTACAGCATTACTAGACAGCCTAAAGAGGCTGGCGCGGCAGCGAAAACCTGTTGGTCGTTTCGTCCATGTATGGGAGTTTAAAATTCGCGTCGCTCGCTCGCTCGCGGGTTTTAGATATTTTTCCTTGTGTTTTTTATAATCTTTACATCTTTAATTATCCTAAATTACTTTCAAAATTTGGTCAGGATCTAAAAAATGGGCACAGTACAATATAGAATCATTTTCGTGTCAAAAAAAGAAAAGAGGTTTGATTCCCATTATGAATTACGCCTGTCGGTGACGCCTGTCGGTAACGCCTGTCGGTGGCGCCTGTCGGTGGCCCCTGTCGGTGACGCCTGTCGGTGACCCCTGTCGGTGACGCCTGTCGGTGACGCCTGTCGGTGACGCCTGTCGGTGACGCCTGTCGGTGACGCCTGTCGGTGACGCCTGTCGGTGACGCCTGTCGGTGACGCCTGTCGGTGACGCCTGTCGGTGACGCCTGTCGGTGACGCCTGTCGGTGACGCCTGTCGGTGACGCCTATCTGAGATAAAGGGGACGAACGGACACGACCTACTTTGTTAAACTAAGACTGTCGGTGACGCCTGTCGGTGACGCCTGTCGGTGACGCCTGTCGGTGACGCCTGTCGGTGACGCCTGTCGGTGACGCCTGTCGGTGACGCCTGTGGGTGACGCCTGTCGGTGACGCCTGTCGGTAACGCCTGTCGGTGGGGACGCCTGTCGGTGACGACTGTCGGTGACGCCTGTCGGTGACGCCTGTCGGTGGCCCTGTCGGGGGCGCCCTGTCGGTGACGCCTGTCGGTGACGCCTGTGGGTGACGCCTGTCGGTGACGCCTGTCGGTGACGCCTGTCGGTGACGCCTTTCGGTGACGCCGGTCGGTGACGCCTGTCGGTGACGCCTGTCGGTGACGCCTGTCGGTGACGCCTGTCGGTGACGCCTGTCGGTGACGCCTGTCGGTGACGCCTGTCGGTGACGCCTGTCGGTGACGCCTGTCGGTGACGCCTGTCGGTGACGCCTGTCGGTGACGCCTGTCGGTGACGCCTGCCCGTACAGAAAAATGCAGTTCGCTTTTAGTTCGCTATCAGTTCGCTTTTAGTTCGCTTAAATTACCCGTGGATTAGTTCGCTTAGAGTTCGCTTCGTCGGGGGATTGGTTCGCTCAGAGTTTAAAAACGACCAAAAACCGAACCGGAAGCGAACTAGTTCGCGGGGGGATCGGTTCGCTTTCGGTCCGCGTGTGAACTGGTAAGCGAACAGTTCGCTTCGACGGCGAGCCACAAAAGAAAGGGCCGACACCCCGTGTAATGTATGCTTTTGCGTGCCTCGATGCTGGCTGCCGGTGGTAGTCGATCCCTGGTCTTCTGTGATGTGGACTCCCTGGGCTCCTCGTAGTCGACGACGCTAACCACTGCGCCAACCTGAAACATGAGGGCAGGGCCCGCAGGCGAGCCTCTTCACTGGCTCCGCGAAGCTCGGCGCGCGGCACTCCGGTCCATCTCTGTGTGTGCTCTCTGGAGGGCGCATTTATCAAGATAGAAAGATGCGGTTTTCGGTGACTCTATTGGAATTTCACGTAAAGTCTGCGAGGCGTTTAAGCACTGCACAAAACAGCAAATAAATAGATGTCCCCTTGATAGCGCGTTTAAACGTTAATCAAACTGCGAACAGATGAGGAATTGAGCAAGTGCGCGTCATTGAGAGCGATGTGTTAGGAGGATTTTACTTCTCACATTGACGCTTTATGCATTTAGCACGAGACGGTACATAAACTGTTACATCGCATTTCTTCTGTTATTTCGCACAAGAAATTAAAATTATTGAAACATTATACTACCAGTACAAAGCTTCGCGCAAAAATTTCAGCAAAATTATATTGTAATTTTCAGATTTGTTCCTCCGTGGAGACTTGAAGTTGAAGATCTTTGCCCCCTTAATACTTAACTTGAAATCCCCTTGACGTGTTAAAATTGAACACCGACGTCCAAAAGGAATGCCGACTTTATATTGGAGCTAACACAATACGGCCGAGGGTCCCCCCACCCCCACCCGTTGCTTGTCAGAGAACTAGTACGTTTTCGGTTCGCTGCAGAGTGAACTAGTACGCTGTTGGTTCGCTGCAGAGCGAACTAGTGCGCTAAGGGTTCGCACAGGAGGCGGATTGGTTCGTAGGTAAGTTGCGTCGGGCCTCCTTAGCGAACCCTAAGCGAACTAGTTCGCACTGCCACGCACCGGGTGCGCACTAGTCCTCCGGCACGCGTATCTTTAGCACACTAGTCCCACCGAAGCGAACTATTAGCGAACCAATCCCTCCTTGAGTTCGCTGACTAAAAGCGAACCAGTTCCCCCCTTCCGAACTAAAAGCGAACCAATCCATAGGGTAGCGAACTAAAAACGAACTGAAAACGAACTAAAAGCGAACTGTATTTTTCTGTACGGGTGTCGGTGACGCCTGTCGGTGACGCCTGTCGGTGACGCCTGTCGGTGACGCCTGTCGGTGACGCCTGTCGGTGACGCCTGTCGGTGACGCCTGTCGGTGACGCCTGTCGGTGACGCCTGTCGGTGACGCCTGTCGGTGACGCCTTTCGGCGACGCCTTTCGGTGACGCCTGTCGGTGACGCCTGCCGGTGAAGCCTGTCGGTGACGCCTGTCGGTGACGCCTGTCGGTGAGGCCGTTCGGTGAGGCCTGTCGGTGACGCCTGTCGGTGACGCCGGTCGGTGACGCCTGTCGGTGACGCCTGTCGGGGACGCCTGTCGGTGACGCCTGTCGGTGACGCCTGTCGGTGACGCCTGTCGGTGGCGCCTGTCGGTGACGCCTGTCGGTGACGCCTGTCGGTGACGCCTTTCGGTGACGCCTTTCGGTGACGCCTGTCGGTGACGCCTGTGTGGGATAAAGGGGACGAACGGACACGACCTACTTTGTTTAACTAGGACTGTCGGTGACGCCTGTCGGTGACGCCTGTCGGTGACGCCTGTCGGTGACGCCTGTCGGTGACGCCTGTCGGTGGCGCCTGTCGGTGACGCCTGTCGGTGACGCCTGTCGGTGACGCCTGACTGGGATAAAGGTGACGAACTGACTGTAGTAAATTTGGATGTGTTTGTTTTGAAAATGAGCCCCTTTTCTTTTTGGGGAATGATAGCCAGAAAGTATGCTTTTGCGCGAAGGATTGTGATTCGGCAATGGTTGGTTTCTCCTTCAATCGACGGAAGGGTATTTAATAGTCTAAAACTAAATGTTCCAACCAATCCTAACCAAAACTAACGGGCTCGTGACAGATCTTACTCTACTCGTGACAGATCTTACCCTCCTCTCGACAGATCTTATTCTCAAACTAAATGGTCCAACCAATCCTAACCTAACCTAACGGGCTCGTGACAGATCTTTCTCTACTCGTGACAGATCTTTCCCTACTCTCCACCGATCTTATTCTCAAAATAAATGGTCCAACCAAACCTAATTTTAAACCCAACGGGCTCGTGACAGATCTTACTCTACTCGTGACAGATCTTACCCTACTCTCGACAGATCTTATTCTCAAAATAAATGGTCCAACCAAACCTAACCTAACCTAACGGGCTCGTGACAGATCTTTCTCTACTAGTGACACATCTTACCCTACTCTCGACAGATCTTATTCTCAAACTAAATGGTCCAACCAATCCTAACCTAACCTAACGGGCTCGTGACAGATCTTACTCTACGCGTGACAGCTCTTACCCTACTTTCGACCGATCTTATTCTTAAACTAAATGGTCCAACCAATCCTAACCAAACCTAACGGGCTCGTGACAGATCTTACTCTACGCGTGACAGCTCTTACCCTACTTTCGACCGATCTTATTCTCAAAATAAATGGTCCAACCAAACCTAACCTAACCTAACGGGCTCGTGACAGATCTTTCTCTACTCGTGACAGATCTTACCCTACTCTCGACAGATCTTATTCTCAAACTAAATGGTCCAACCAATCCTAACCTAACCTAACGGGCTCGTGACAGATCTTACTCTACGCGTGACAGCTCTTACCCTACTTTCGACCGATCTTATTCTCAAACTAAATGGTCCAACCAATCCTAAGCAAACCTGACGGGCTCGTGACGGATCTTTCTCTACTCGTGATAGATCTTTCCCTACTCTCCACCGATCTTATTCTCAAACTAAATGGTCCAACCAATCCTAATTTAACCTAACGGGCTCGTGACGCCTGTCGGTGACGCCTGTCGGTGACGCCTGTCGGTGACGCCTGTCGGTGACGCCTGTCGGTGACGCCTGTCGGTGACGCCTGTCTGTGACGCCTGTCGGTGACGCCTGTCGGGGGCGCCTGTCGGTGACGCCTGTCGGTGACGCCTGTCGGTGACGCCTGTCGGTGACGCCTGTCGGTGACGCCTGTCTGGGATAAAGGGGACGAACGGACACGACCTACTTTGTTTAACTAAGACTGTCGGTGACGCCTGTCGGTGACGCCTGTCGGTGACGCCTGTCGGTGACGCCTGTCGGTGACGCCTGTCGGTGACGCCTGTCGGTGACGCCTGTCGGTGACGCCTGTCGGTGACGCCTGTCGGTGACGCCTGTCGGTGACGGCTGTCGGTGACGCCTGTCGGTGACGCCTGTCGGTGACGCCTGTCGGTGGCGCCTGTCGGGGACGCCTGTCGGTGACGCCTGTCGGTGACGCCTGTCGGGGACGACTGTCGGTGACGACTGTCTGGGAGAAAGGGGACGAACGGACATGACCTTCTTTATTCAACTAAGACTGTCGGTGACGCCTGTCGGTGACGCCTGTCGGTGACGCCTGTCGGTGACGCCTGTCGGTGACGCCTGTCGGTGGCGCCTGTCGGTGACGCCCGTCGGTGACCCTGTCGGTGACGCCTGTCGGTGACGCCTGTCGGTGACGCCTGTCGGTGACGCCTGTCGGTGACGCCTGTCGGTGACGACTGTCGGTGACGCCTGTCGGTGACGACTGTCGGTGACGCCTGTCGGTGACGCCTGTCGGTGCGACTGTCGGTTTACGACTGTCGGTGACGAGTGTCGGTGACGACTGTCTGGGAGAAAGGGGACGAACGGACATGACCTTCTTTATTCAACTAAGACTGTCGGTGACGCCTGTCGGGGACGCCTGTCGGTGACGCCTGTCGGTGACGCCTGTCGGTGACGCCTGTCGGTGACGCCTGTCGGTGACGCCTGTCGGTGACGCCTGTCGGTGACGCCTGTCGGTGACGCCTGTCGGTGACGCGTGTCAGCAACTGAACACTGTGTGGGGACGAACGGACACGAACAGGCCCTCCGGGCGGAGGCGCTCCGCCGAGCGCGCTCGCTGCCGCTCGCTCGCTCGCTCCGCGAAAAATGCCAAAATTTGGCACATTTTGCACCAAAATGGTATTACAATTACGTGTATTACACGAGTGTTTACCCCCTCAACGGAACATGTCTGGTCAATAATTTTGCCTGGACCGTCCGTACATGTCCTACTACGGAACTTGTGTTTTATTTTTCCGTACTCGATTGTGATAGTGCGATATTAATGTTGAGTTGGCACTCCTTCGGAAAATTACCAAACGACGGTCTCTGTAGTCCGGAATCACAGCTCGAATGTGTTTACTTCCCCTGCTATAGCCCACTCTGGCCGAAACGACGGCTCTGGTAAAGCCCTGCCACACTGATAGCCTAGACGCAGCCGAGGGCAGCAGCAGCCTGATGCTGAACGGCGCTTGGTCGCTCTGTCTCTCTCGCACTCCCGCGGCGTTCCGCGTAGGTGCGAGAGAGACAGAGCGACGAAAACGACTCTCGGAATCAGTCTGCAGGGCTTGTCCCTCTCTGTCCCTCGCCCGACCACCGGCCTGTCCGACCGAGTTTGAAGCGACGACGGTTGTCATGACAACGGGGCAACGGGGCAGGTACGGCCCGTGGCGCTTTCGTCGCCCTGTCTCTCTCGCACTCGTGGGGCGTCGCGTACTAGTGAAAAAGAGAGGGGAGCCGTTTAGAACGAGGCAGCATCAGAGCACCGGATTAGAGGAGTCGGCGGCCCGGTGGTGCTTTTTGTTTGGCGGGGTCGCCCTCTGCAACCCCTTCCCTTCTCTCTCTCTCTCTCTCTCTCTCTCTCTCTCTCTCTCTCTCTCCCTCTCTCTCCCTCTCTCTCCCTCTCTTGCACGTGTCACCCGTCAATGGGCTTGCGGTAAGGCACACCTCGTCACGTGACTTTTCGGCAGGCTACACCACGTGCCACGTCGTCAACGCAGGCGAGTAGGGTCCTAGGGTCCCCTTCCACAGTGGGCCAGAAGACCGGTGGAGGCGGCCAAAACTCTGGACGCGTTTTGAGCTCCAGAGTCGCTAATAGGGACTCGAACCGAATGTGTGACCCCACCAATGAATTGCTCTCCAAACGAGAAATCGATTGGTGGGGTCACACGATCGGTTCGAGTCCCGATCAGCGACTCTGGAGCTCAAAACGCGTCTACAGTTTTGGCCGCCTCCACCGGTCTTCTGGCCCACTGTGCCACCCCGCCCACCCCACCCCGCTCCACCCCACCCCATACGACACCCCGCCCGGCCCTGCCACGCGTGATGTGTGCCAACACTCCAGGCTGGAGACACCATCCTCCAAAAGTTGCCCAGTTTATATTTCAACTTAATTTACAGTGAGTGCGTGGATCCGGGAAGCGGCGGGCGCACCTGGTAATGGAGGGCCCGAGGGACGCACAGTGGGCCAGAAGACCGGTGGAGGCGGCCAAAATTCTAGACGCATTTTGTGCGTTAGGGTCGCTAAACAGGACTAGAACCGAACGTGTGACCCCACCAATAGATTCCTCGTTCGGAAAGCAATCCATCGGTGGGGTCACACGTTCGGTTCGAGTCCTGTTAATCGACTCTGGAGCTCAAAACGCGTCTGGGATGGCAAAACCGTGGCAAAGCGCTGGCCACCGTCTTGCGAGTGGAGGCCCAGAGCCTCTTACTCTTTATCTATAGGCCTTTACACTGTAAAAACATCATTTCATATAGTGCTTTAGCGAGCCACCCTTTTCTATCTAATTCCATCAGCTTATCCTTCTCTCCCTCGCTATCCCGTCCAGTGTTTGGACAGCAATCCATTTGTGGGGTCACACGCTCGGTATGAGACCGGTTTGGCGTACTCTGAAGCTCAATGACCGCCGGTCATCAGGTCCACTGTGGTGGGCAACCCTTCCTCGGCGCCGGAGCTTCGTAGGTACTTTTTCCTCCAGAAGACCGGTGGAGGCGGCTAAAACTCTAGACGCGTTTTGAGCTCCAGAGTCGCTTAATGGGACTCGAACCGAACGTGTGACCCCACCAATAGATTCCTCGTTCGAAGAGCAAATCATTGGTGGGGTCACATGATGGTTTCGAGTCCCATTTAGCGACTCTGGAGCTCAAAACGCGTCTAGAGTTTTGGCCGCCTCCACCGGTCTTCTGGACCACTGTGAACCACCCGTTTCGTCTCAACGAGTGCGTCCGCGAGCGAAAGGGTGGCAGCCGGCAGCTCTCGGTCCTCGCGTCGCGGCTCCGCGCTGCCCGTCGCGCGGCAAAATTAATTCCCTCCCGGAGCACTTTGCTTCTTGTTATTGTTGTTGTTTATGAAAAAAGTCGCCCTCCCCTACACTCTTCACCCACGTTGTGTCCCCCGGTGTTTACGAGAGAGCGGGGTTGCCGCGTATATAGGCCGCGCCCCTTCGCGCAGTGGGCCAGAAGACCAGTGGTGGCGGTCAAAATCCCGGACGCGTTTTGAGCTCCAGAGTCGCTAAATGGGACTCGAACCGAACGTGTGACCCCACCAATGGATTGCTCTCCGAACGAGGAATCCATTGGTGGGGTCACACGTTCGGTTCGAGTCCTGTTTAGCGACTCTGGAGCTCTAAACGCGTCCGGGACTTTGCCCGCCTCCACCGGTCTTCTAGCCCACTGCGCCGCACCCCTCCGGTCCCTCCGGTCCCTTCAGTGTGCCGGTTTGTTTAGACTCGCGTCCCGGCCCCGCCCCTATGCTACTTGTGAAGCCGCGTTGCAGGCTGATTCCGAAAGTAGCTCTGTCTCTCTCGCTCCTATACTGGACGCCCCATGAGTGCGAGAGAGACAGAGCGAGGACTCTCGGAATCGGTCCGCTGTGGCGTGGCCCCGTTCCGGCGCTTCATTCTGCGCTTGATTTGGTTCTGACAGTGTACTCCACTCCGCCGGCCGCCGCGTTGGGAATCTAGTCAAACATCTCGGGCTGAGTGACGTGGTGACGCGCGAGTGGGCCTCGGCCAATCCACCACGGCGTGGGACCGGGTCGCCATGGGCCGCCTCACAGTGGGCCAGAAGACTGACGCCGGCGGCCGAAACTCCAGACGCGTTTTGAGCTCCAGAGTCGCTAAAGAGGACTCGAACCGAGCGTGTGATCCCACCAATGGATTCCTCGTTCGGAGAGCAATCCATTGGTGGGGTCACACGTTCGGTTCGAGTCCCATTTAGCGACTCTGGAGCTCGAAACGCGTCCGGGGTTTCGGCCGCCTCCACCGGTCTTCTGGCCCACTGCGCGCCATAGGCCGCTGCGTTAGAGGGCGTTTAACAAGCTGCTGGGGGCAGGGGGGCTGGGGAAATGGAGAGAGGGGGCGGGGGCGGGATCAGGAATGCATTTGGAGCGGGCGGGGCGGGACCCGCGAGGCCCCAAGGGGGGCGCGTCAGTGTAGCGGCCCGTCGAGTTGAATCTTCGCGCGTTAGTATCGCCCCTTCCCCGCCCCCTTCCCTTCCCCCGCGGACTGCCGGAAGGCTTTGCATGCCATTCGCCGCTACGACTGGCCGGGCGACTCAGAGTAGCTCTGTCTCTCTCGCACTCCTCCGGTCGGTCGCATGAGTGCGACAGAGGCAGGACGCACAGTGGGCCAGAAGACCAGTGGAGGCGGCCAAAACTCTAGACGCGTTTTGAGCTCCAGAGTCGCTAAATGGGACTCGAACCGAACGTGTGACCCCACCAATGGATTGCTCTCCGAACGAGGAATCCATTGGTGGTGTCACACGTTCGGTTCGAGGCCTGTTTAGCGACTCTGGAGCTCGAAACTCGTCTAGAGTTATGTCCGCCTCCACCGGTCGTCTTGCCCACTGTGGGACGACTAGCTCCGGAATCCGCTCGCGCAGGTCCTTCCCGGGGGACGGGGATGTATTTGTCAGCAGAGCCATCATCCTTCGAGAGGCCGTAGGGCCGACAGGCCGAAGGGTGGAAGCCTACCTGAAGATCTGAAGTGCCTGCCGGGCCCGGGCTCGCTGCCGGGCCCAGTCGACATTCAAAGGGACTGGCTTATCTAGCACTGTTTCGAAAAGTCTTGGAAATTCCCGGAGAACTTGTGCAAAATTAGTTTTGCCTCCAGATCTTTGGGAAATTTGAGACGCTCATTTCGTGATGTCCCGAATAATTCCAAAATCTTTTTCCGAATCGTGTTCCAAATCATTTTCCAAATCATTTTCCAAATCATTTTCCAAATCATTTTGATCTGTATGACTTTTAACGGTGTGGCTGTTTGTCCGCAGGGGCCCTGCTGGCCGGCACGCAGTGCGACTACCCGCGCGGCTGCAAGGAGTACCTGCGCAACTGCCTGGCGCGCCTTCCCGCCATCCTGGACCAGCGCGAGATGCAGAGCATCCCCACCGACGCCGTGGAGCTCGACGCCACCTGCCTGTGAGTGCGTCGCTCTCTCTCTCTCTCGCACCCCCAGGCAACCCCCCACGAGTGCGAGAGACAGAGTGAGGACTGCGCAGTGGAGCACAAGACCGGTGGAGGAGCTCAAAACTCTATACGCGTTTTGAGCTCCAGAGTCGCTAAATGGGACTCAAACCGAACGTGTGACCCCACCAATGGATTCCTCGTTCGGAGAGCAGTCCATTGGTGGGGTCACACGTTCGGTTCGAGTCCCATTTAGCGACACTGGAGCTCAAAACGCGTCTACACTGTAAATGTCTTACGGTGAAAGGCTGCACCAACATATTATGGTGGGGATTTTCTCCATAATACCAACAAAATTCGTCAAAATATCTATAAGGTACAGTGAATTCTCAATGGTATGTTACGAGGTCAGCTGCACCACCATAATATGGAACATTTTCACCATAATATGGAGAATCTTCACTGTAGAACATTTAGAGTGTAGAGTTTTGCCCGCCTCCACCGCTCTTTTGGCCCACTGTGCAACCCCCACGATTGCGAGACAGACAGACTGAGGACCACTGCATGCATGATTGGGGCGACCTGGCGTTGATCGAAAGGCAGCAGCTCGATTCAGAACACACCTCTGCGCCCCGCTCTCTCGCGAGAGAGACAGAGCGGCGAGTTCTGAATCTGCGTCTCGATCAATGCCTGGTCGCCCCAATCATGGAGGCAGTGGTCTTCTCCGACCTCTCCCACCTCAGCGCTCTGCCGGCGCACAGTGGGCCAGAAAACCGGTGGAGGCGGCCAAAACTCTAGATGCGATTTGGGCTCCAGAGCTGCTAAACAGGCTTCGAACCGAATGTGTGACCCCACCAATGGATTCCACGCTCGGAGAGCAATCCATTGGTGGGGTCACACGTTCGGTTCGAGTCCCATTTAACGACTCTGAAGCTCAAAACGCGTCTAGAATCTTGGCCGCCTCCACTGGCCTTGAGGCCCACTGTGCGGCGCTCTGCTAGTCGACACTGTTCTCGAAATCACCGGTTGCCATTGTCTGCCCATCGTGGGCTGATTCCGCGGAGCGCTTCGTCGCTCTGTCTCTCTCGCACCTGCGCGGGAGACCCGACGTGTGCGAGAGAGACAGAGCGACGTTGTTCGGAATCGCCGGCTGCAGGTTGGCGGCGTCCTCGCTATTGAGGTCTGCCTGATGGAACGCCTTGCTCCTACCGGTCGGCCCACAAAGGTAGCGGGGCGGGGTGGGGCGGGGCGGGGCGGGGTGGGGTGGGGCGGGGTGGGGCGGGCACGACCGCAATGGCAAAGGGCTAAATGGCTGGTGCACTATCGGCAGCTGCAGCTGACTGGTACCGACAGTCGTTTTCGTTGCTCTGTCTCCATTGGGCGTCCCGTGTGTAGGTGCGAGAGAGACAGAATGCTCTCGGAATCACAGTCTGCTGGCCGGGGATGGCCCCGAGAGGAGACCGCTTTGCAAATGAGGAGAATATTGGCAGAGGTAGGAGCATCCGTTAATCATGTCTGGAGCGACGGTGAGCCTCAGCCTCAGCCTCACCGCCGCACAGTGGGCCAGAGACCGGTGGAGGCGGCCAAAACTCCAGACGCGTTTTGAGCGCCAGAGTCGCTAAATGGGACTCGAATCGAACGTGTGACCCCACCAATGGATTCCTCGTTCGGAGAGCAATCCATCGGTGGGGTCACACGTTCGATTCGAGTCCCATAGACCATTTCGCTGGATCCACTTCGATCCCTCGAAAAAACAAATGCACCGGAAGTCGGGTAGCGTCGGCCAATCAGGAGCCTCCTTTCATCAGTGGTAGAGCCTAGCCTTGATGAAAGGAGGCTTCTGATTGGCCGACGCTACCCGACTTCCGGTGCATTTGTTTTCTCGAGGGATCGAAGTGGATCCAGCGAAATAGTCTATTCAGCGACCCTGGCGCTCAAATACGCGTCTGGGATTTTGTCCACCTCCACCGGTCTTCCGGCCCACTGTGCGTTGCTTCTCTGTCTCTGTCACTCTTACGAGTCATCCCGTAGAATGGCGCGAGAGAGACAGACACAAAAGATGTGGCATTTGCGGTGATGCGCCCCGACGGCGCACAATCACAGATCGAGAGACGCGAAGCCCCTTGTTCGTGGAACGTGCCGCCAAGCCGCGCCTCTTGTTCTTGTCTCGCCTGCAGACTGATTCCGAGAGTCGTTTCCGTCGCTCTGTCTCTCTCGCACTCACGGGGAATCCCGTGTGGGTGCGAGAGAGACAGAGCGACGAGAAACGACTCTCGGAATCAGTCTGCTGTCGAGGCGAGCTAGGCAGGCCGGCAGGCACGCTCAGCCCTCGTTGCTTTTGATTTTCTTCGCGACGCACAGTGGGCCAGAAGACCGGTGGCGGCGGCCAAAATCCCGGACGCGTTTTGATCTTTAGAATCAAATGGGACTCGAACCGAACGTGTGACCCCACCATTGGATTCCTCTCCGAACGAGGAATCCATTGGTGGGGTCACTCGTTCGGTTCGAGTCCTGGTTATAGCGACTCTGGAGCTCAAAACGCGTCTAGAGTTTTGGCCGCCGGCGCCGGTCTTCCGGCCCACTGTGTGACGTCAGAGCTCCCCAGACTTCCGGGAATCGAGGGAGGGCGTCTTGAGTGCACGCCTCTCGCTTGCAGCCCTCGCCCGTGACTGATCGAAGCCGACAGTCGGGCCAACCGAGAGGACCGAAACTTTTGCATCACTCGGTCAACTTTTCACGACCATCCAAAATAAACAAAAAAATCACACTTAAAACTTTACGAAGAAAGCTTTTTAAGCTGACGTATGCTCAAGATACTCAATATGAAGCTTCTTTACTTCGTGAGACTTCAGATTGAGCAAACTGTCTCTTCCTTCTTAAAAAAAAACTATTTTTCGGGTGTTTGACCCAGAGACTTCCTTTTCAATTTTGTTTTTCCTTCCCTTCTTCTCTCTTTCCTTTGCTCCACTTCCTTCCCCGTCTTCCGTTTAATTGATCCTGTAATGGCTATGTGAGCTCGGATTTAACTAAGCTGAGTCGCCGCTGGAGGGACTTGCCCTGCCCTGCCTTGCCCTACAGACTGATTCCGAGAATCGTCTCTATCGCTCTGTCTCCCTCGCACTCATGGGGCGTCCCGTATTGGTGCGAGAGAGACAGAGCGACGAAAACGACTGTCGGCATCAGTGTACTGCTCTGCTCTGCCTGGTCCTTGACGTCGCACCACTCGGCCCTTAATTGAGGAAGCCACAGCCGAGCGAGAGTCGTTTTCGTCGCTCTGTCTCTCTCGCACACTTACGGCTTGCCCCATGAGTGCGAGAGAGACAGAGCGACGAACCGCTCCTCCGAATCGCAGCCCGGCAGTACACTGGGTCCGCGGACCGACGACGCTGACGACGGGCCGACGGAAAACGGGACGAATCTTTAAACAATTCGCGTTCAAGATTTGGTTATTCAATGTTGGCCGAAGGGCGAGCGAGGAACCCCGTCGCCCCGTCCGATGGGGAAGGGAGGGGAGGGGGGAGGGGGAGAGAAGGGGAAGGAAGAGGGAGTTGCAAGGAATTTGATTTCAGTCGCTGCCACGCAAGTGTGATCGAATTATTCCGCTTCCATGTCTGACAGGCCAAGGAAACAAGGGAGAAGAGGGAGGGGGAGCGTTCACTGGTAAAAGTAAAGGCGTTGAAATTACTACGGTTCAAGGAGGGTGTCTGGCCCTGACGCTCGCTTCTGGAAGCGTGTACAGAAGACTTCCCTTTCTTCTTATCCACAAATGCAGATCTGCATTAGATAAGAAGGATTGTGGTTCCTTTCATCTACGCTTTAAAAAGGGCGTGAAGGGTCAAGAGGCAGTGCGCTTGAAGAAAAGCGAACACTACATTGCGCTTTAGTTTTACCTGTGTTGTCGACAAAAGATGTACCAAAGCGTGGCGCGTGTTCCACAGTAGGCCAGAGGACCAGTGGAGGCGGTCGAAAATCCCGGACGCGTTTTGAGCTCCAGAGTCGCTAAATGGGACTCGAACCGAACGTGTGACCCCACCAATGGACTGCTCACCGAACGAGGAATCCATTGGTGGGGTCACACGTTCGGTTCGAGGCCTGCTCAGCGACTCTGGAGCTCAAAACGCGTCTAGAGTTTTGGCCGCCTCCACCGGTCTTCTGGCCCACTGTGCGCTCACCGCAAACGGCAGAGCGACGCTCCTTTCTTCTTCTTTTTCGAGGGATTCGGTCGAACCTGAGACGGGAGGCGCACTAGCTGCGCTGCCGGGGAATCCACGGAAAAAGAGCCTCGGAATTGGTACCACCACTGTATTGTATAGAGGGGCCTTCGACCCTTATTTGTTTGGGCTCAACTCGTCTTTTTGCTCACCGACGAGATCCGTTGAAACAATAAAGCGGCTGCCTAGCGTCAGAAAAGCTTGTTTGTCGCTCTGTCTCTCTCGCACCCGTACGGAGAGTCCCACGAGTGCGAGAGAGACAGAGCGACGAAACGACTCCCCGAATCGCTTGGCTGTTTTCCGCCGCGCGGCAGCGTGGCAAAGCTCTCTCCTTCTCGGCCCAGACCGCACCTCATCCCTCTTGTTTTATTTTTTTTTTTTACTTTTTTAATGAAAAAGAACAGTCCAACTGTCGCCCTCTTGGGCACCTGCGGCGGCCTTTTCGTCATCTCGGAGTGACAGAGCGCTCTCTCTCTCTCTCTCTCTCTCTCTCTCTCTCTCTCTCTCTCTCTCTCTCTCTCTCTCTCTCTCTCTCTCTCTCTCTCTTTCCCATCCCTCCGCTTTGAAGCCGAAGCAATAACCTCGGAATAAGACGAAATCGGGATAACCCACAGCACGCGCACATCTGAGAGAAGGGAAAAAAAATCATCATGTAAAAATAAAGACACAAAAGGAATGATGTGTTGTTTTTTTTGTTCGGCAGCGGCTTTGACACGGGCATGGGCTGTGTAGACAACTTCACCGCCAACTGCCTGGGCAAGGAACGCGAGAAGCAGAAGTGGGTGGAGAACACGGTGGCTGGCGCCAGGGCCACCTTCAACATCCTCTGCGGCAGCAAGGAGGTCCGGGAGCGTGAGTACCCTCAGTCAATACAAACTGCCAGTGCCGAACCCAGTGGCGGATCCAGAGCACAGTGGGCCAGAAGACCGGTGGAGGCGGTCGAAATCCCGGACGCGTTTTGCGCTCCAGAGTCGCTAAATAGGACTCGAACCGAACGTGTGACCCCACCAATGGATTGCTCTCCGAACGAGGAATCCATTGGTGGGGTCACACGCTCGGTTCGAGTCCTGTTTCGTGACTCGAGCTCAAAACGCGTCCGGGATTTTGCCCACCTCCACTGGTGTTCTAGTCCACTGTCCGGGTTTCTTCGCGTGTCAAATTCTTAAACTTTTACCAGCTTTTTTTTTTCATTTTTATGTTTTTGTATTTTTGCAGAGTACCTGAAGCACGCGCGCTGCTTCCGGGCCATGTCCGTGACGGACGGATGGAACAACTGTGCCAGCAGATTCATCGGCCTCGTCAGGGAGGAGATGGCCAGGCCGGGCATCGGCAGGCACGAGGAGCGCATCATGGAGCTGTGCTGGTGGGTAGGGGAGGGGCAAGTCAGCCAAACCGAGCGTGTGACCCCACCAATGGATTCCTCGTTCGGAGAGCAATCCATTGGTGGGGTCACACGTTCGGTTCGAGTCCCATTTAGCGACTCTGGAGCTCAAAATGCGTCTAGAGTTTTGGCCGCCGGCGCCGGTCTTCTGGCCCACTGTGCGTCTCGTCGCGGCCGGCATGACGTCCTCGGGATCCCGAGGGAGGATGACGCGTCGAGTAGGGGTGGAGTAAGGGGCGGCGGCAGGGCGGCAGGGCTGGGGGACGGCACGTGGCCTGCAGACTGATTCCGAGAGTCGTGTTCGTCGCTCTGTCTCTCTCGCACCCACGGGGCGTCCCGTGTAGGTGCGATAGAGACAGAGCGACGACTCTCGGAATCAGTCTGCTGGTGGCCCTCGTGGGGACGGCGACGGGAACACGGTGGCGCGGACACCTGGTGACGGTTGCCACTCCTTGAGTTTCTACTCCGAAAAGTGCGAAGCCAGGACCCAGACCTATGCACTGTGAAAATTTGTTGTCACTTTATGACAACGCGGATGGCATTTTCATCACTTTCAAATCATGACAGTCTCATCACAAATTGATGACATTTTCATCAAAGCTCCTATACTTATTGCATGGGCGGGACAACAATGTCATCAATTTTTTTGATGACATTGTTGTAAGAAAAGTTAGCCTTGAAATTGTCATCAAGTGACGACTCAAATTTTCACAGTGTGGGTGTGGAGCCACCGCATGGCTGGATTTGCTCCCTCAACAGGAACAGGATTCCCATGACTGTAGATTCCCATGACTGTAGATTCCCATAACTGTAGATTCCCATGACTGTAGATTCCCATTGACAGGATTCGAACCACTGGATTCCCACGACTGGAATCACGTCCTCCGGACTTCCTGCGTCAGGTTCCTCACCACTGGATATTCGTCGCTCTGTCTCTGTCGCACTCATGGGGCGTGCCGGAAGGGTGCGAGAGAGACAGAGAGACGAGCTGCGCACAAGAAATCAGTCCGCTGCTTTGCGTGGCCGTGAGCGGGGCGTCGACGCTCACCTTGCCGTACTAACTACATTCTGCCATCCGGTACACAGTGGGCCAGAAGACCGGTGGAGGCGGCTAAAATCCGGGACGCGTTTTGAGCTCCAGAGTCGCTGAGCAGGCCTCGAACCGAACGTGTGGCCCCACCAATGGTTTCCTCATTCGGAGAGCAATCCATTGGTGGGGTCACACGTTCGGTTCGAGTCCCATTTAGCGACTCTGGAGCTCAAAAACGCGTCTGGAGTTTTAGCCGCCTCCACCGGTCTTCTAGCTCACTTTGCGGCACCTCGCCCCCCCCTTTTCCCCTGCATCCGCTGCGCACCAGTGTAGTGCCGCGGCAGTGCTGACAGTGCGACGCTCCTTGACGGGTTGGTAAACATGTCTCGACGCCGCTGCAGCAGCGTGCCACAGTGTGGTGGCGGCACTGCCAGCGTGAGGCTGGGACCGACAGAGAGGAATCATTAATAACATGTCATCCGCTTAGCGAACGGGTGGAGGGGAGGGGAGGGGAGGGGAGGGGAAGGGAAGGGAGGGGAAGGGAGGGAAGGGAAGGGAAAGGGGTGCCACCGCCGCTAACTTGCACGCACAAAAGGGTGCGGCACAAACAACTGCCGGGACTCTTCCGCTACACGCTAAGGCCGCGGCAGCGCGGCAGCAGACTGATTCCGAGAGTCCTTTTCGTCGCTCTGTCTCTTTCGCACTCGCGGGGCGTCGCGTCAAGGTGCGAGAGAGACAGAGCGACGAATAGGACTTCCCGGAACGAGTCCGCAGGCTGCGCCACTGGGAAGTCGTCGCATTGAGCCTCACAATGAGACTTTCAGTGGCGCAGTTGATTTTGCCGCAGCGTGCTCGGCAGCGTGGCGAGGAGAAGGAGGAGGAGGAGGGAGGGAGGAAAGAGGGAAGAAAACGAGATGAAAACTTAGACAGCAAGGTGAAAATAAGCACTCTTAAAACCTTACGAAGTATTTTGAACATACATATAAAAAACGGAAATACTTTGTTATACGAAGACGAAGTATTTTCTTTGTAAGCTTATGTATGTATGCCTAAAATACTTTGTTATACAAACTACTTTTCTTTGCAAGGCCCAATATAGTTTGTAAGGTTTTCTCAGTGAGGAGAGAAGCAGGCGAACAAGATGAAAACGAGGAGAAAAGGAGGTGAAAATGAGAATAGAACTATGGACTTAAATGAATGCTAGAAGAAAGCGAGATCAAAACGAGGAGAAAACGAGATGGAAACAAGATGAAAGCGAGACGAAAACAAGAAGAAATTAGAAAGAAAAGGAGACGAGAGGGGGAACAAGCCGCCTGAAGCCAAACGATTTGAGCCTTAACCCCGCTCAGCGCAGCGCAAAGACCCTTAAAAGAGAAATATTCAAAGCAGGAGCAGAGAAGCTGAGCTGCGGGGCGGCGACCTGTGGCGCTGGCAAGGTTACACGATTTCACAGTTACGCGGCTACACTGTTACACGCGTGCCGCGCCTGGCCGCCCCCGTTCTGGAGGCGCCGCACAGTGGGCCAGAAGACCGGTGGAGGCGGCGAAAAACTCTAGACGCGTTTTCAGCCCCAGAGTCGCTAAACAGGACTCGAACCGAACGTGTGACCCCACCAATGGATTCCTCGTTCGGAGAGCATTCCATTGGTGGGGTCACGCGTTCGGTTTGAGTCCTGTTAAGTGACTCTGGAGCTCAAAGCGCGTCAAGAGTTTTGGCCGCCTCCACCGGTCTTCTGGCCCACTGTGCGATTGAAGATGCGTAGCAACCATTGTGCAGTGCGGACAAGGAGCCCCTGCAATGGAGCGTGTAGGCAGCACGCTCTGCACGGGTGACTCGCTGTGGCTGGCGGCGGCCTACCTGCCAGGCGTTTTTTGCTGGAAGCAGGACTCGAACCGAACGTGCGACCCCACCAATGGATTCCTCGTTCGGAGAGCAATCCATTGGTGGGGTCACACGTTCGGTTCGAGTCCCATTTAGCGACTCTGGAGCTCAAAACGCGTCTACAGTTTTGGCCGCCTCCTGCGATCTTCTAGCCCGCTTTCCGGGCAAATCCCAGTGAAAATTTCCGGCTCCGTACCTGTTCTTGGTGTCTCCGTCCTGATATTTTATGTACCTTCTCTGTAATAGGGTGCTTCTGAGAAGAGCTAGAGCGGAAGTTTAGAAGGAATCAAGAAGACCAAAGTATGCGAAATAAGTAAGAATGAGCGTCGCCGTTCTGCCGCTTCCGCAGAGTTGTATTCTCATACAAGTCCGGCGTCTCTTCTTCTTGATTTCCTCTCAACTTCCGGTCCAGCTCTTCTCCGAAGTACCCTATTTTCGCCTACCTTAAGACAGTGTCGCTCTTTGTTGCAGCGCCAAGCACGGCTTCCTGCGCTGCGTGTTCGGCTCCGCCAAGCACAAGTGCGGCTCCAACAGCGCCACGTTCCTGCGGAAGGTCGCCGAGACGCTGTCGTCGGTGCGCGTGGAGGCCGCCGTGTGCCGCTACGTCAACCACACCGCCTGCTCCGGCACGCCGGCCGCGCCCCGCCACGGCCTCGGCCTCGGCGCGGGCCTCCTCGCCGGCCTCGTGCTCGGCCACGCCGTGCTCGTGTAGCCTGCCGCCGACCTCGCAAGAGTCGCACCGTGGGCCAGAAGACCGGTGGAGGCGGTCAGAACCCCGGACGCGTTTTGAGCTCCAGAGTCGCTAAATGGGACTCGAACCGAACGTGTGACCCCACCAATGGATCGCTCTCCGAACGAGGAATCCATTGGTGGGGTCACACGTTCGGTTCGAGTCCTGTTTAGTGACTCTGGAGCTCAAAACGTGCCTAGAGTTTTGGCCACCGGCGCCGGTCTTCTGGTCCACAGTGCGTCGTTCCAAGAGCCATTTCCCTCACTTTCTGAAACCCAGTACATTCTCTCAAATAAAAATCTGTTTTTTTTTCAGTCTTTGTCAGTGTTTTTCCTCCGATGTCTCGGTTGCTCAGAGCGCTGAGGAAGCGGTTTTCCTTCTAAACGACCTGGGTTCGATTCTCATGCCACGTGTAGCCGAATGGGTAGCCCACCTCCACCGCGCCACTGTTTCTGAGACGTTCGGCGTGTCACAGAAGGGACAACGAAGTAAGAACAACAATCCCGGGCGAGGCACACTGAGACATTTCAGATTTCCCGATATCGCTACCCTGTTCACTGCGATCCAAACCGTGCTGCAAACCAGCGGGATTTATTTTTCAGGATGGGTTAAACCAGTAGTAGTTTTGATGGCTGCTGACGTTATAGCAGTGGAATGATGCGCTTTACGTTGATGTAGTAAAATTGGTGAGAGACACCTCCACCGCGAGCATCCGGCTGCACAATGCCTCCAGCGCCCCCTAGCGGAGGAACTCTCGACTCAGAAGCAAGATCCTGTCCGGGATCTCACTTCGGAGACGTGTCTACTGTCGAATTTCCTGATGGAAAAACCGTTCGACATTGAAAGGGCTAGGCGCAGAGCGACAAGCAGCTTATCACGGAACTTGCGGACCGACTAGTAAAATCGGCGAGCGGAGCTGCCACCGCCAGAGAACGGCAGCAACGCAGCGGCCAGCGGAAGCGCGTCCAAAACCTATTCGGGCAGTGGACATCACGAGAACCACCACTCTAACCATGATGCAGCTTTGCAGTCTCAAAATCATGGAAGACAGCTGATGGCTGACAGGGTAAAGGCGTCAAGCGCTACTTTATTTCCCTGGGTTCGATTCTCCGGGTAGCTTTTCTTATGGCTTGTGTTTCCTTCTAAATTCTTTTCTCCTATCGTTGCACAGCGCCGGGAAGGTAGGCCACCCCTTCGGCACGTCACAGGGAAGACGTGCAAAACAAGACCTCCGAGATTTGTCACGCCTGGGAGTCGAACCCAGGTCCTTCATCAGGGCGGCCGCTACCCTTGCGCTCTCAACCACCCCTTTTTTTTTTTTGTATCTTTGAGAAGTAAACCGAGGAAAATGTTGACATACGTAAGGAGTTGTACCCATGGCCCTTCCTGAGTCGGCCGCAACCTCTGAACTCGGAGCCACCTAACTCCTGTTTTTGTAATGCCCAGTCTTAGAGGAATGTTACTGGTTTTGAGAGAAAAATGAGAAGGAATGTTTCATGTTTGAGAGCTCAGTCCTCTGTGCTTTGAGCCTCCTAGCCATCTAAGAGTGCCTGGTCCAAACTTAGACTGATGGTACTGGATGTACATGTTTGTGTTCTGTCCTGATCTAATGGCTCGTCTAATCATGCGTCACCAGCTTGTGTACCACATTCTTAAATTTGGAAAGTGTCAATTGGATGCCAGGAGTGAGGGGCTAAGGATTAATTAATCTAGTTTCATGTACAATAAATATATAATTCTTTATTATCAATTTTATCTTATTTTAAATTGAATGTAATTGGAACTTGACCGCATGGAAAGCAAAGAAAGTAAAAACCTGATATTTTCCAGAGACAATGAATAACAAAAATTTTCAGCAAAATAGAACGGCATCAGTGAAGTCACAAATTTAGCCTTTTCGTGTGAATTTGCTACACATCCCCAGCCCTTAATGTTCTAAAATTTCAGTCTATAGTACAGATTATCATTACAGTCTATGCAAAACTGGAAAGCATCAATAAGGTGAGACTTAGATATTTGACATGATTCATTAAGGGTCTTAAACTGAACCATCAGTTAACCACAGGGTAACTTCTTCGAGCAAATCTAGCATTTTTGGTCCCATACAGCAGCTCTTGAAAAATTGCAAGATTAGGCTGAAGAGATTTCTACAAAACAAGATCATCTTTACATCTAAAACCCAGAAGCAAATTTGAGAACCAATTAGGAGAGACTAAACACTACTTGAGGAAGCTAATGAAAAAAACCCTACAGGAACTTATAAAATGACGAATCATTAGGCTAGTTTACTCTTGTTGAGAAGCTCACTAATTTTATTTATAATCTTTTTGTTACAGATATTGCAATTTGTTTTTCTTTAAATTTGTCATGCATTGTGGCTAAGTAAGCAGTCTTAAAAGCAGCAGAGAAATTGAACACATGGCACTTCTAAGAAACAGGTGGTCAGCATTTACATCAATGCATTCAACAAACAGTACAGGGCTAATATCATTTTAAAAGACAAACAACTATTACATTTTATTTTCTTCACATTTTAACTGCCAAGGAGGAGCCCCATTCTCTGTCTGGAAACCATCATTAGTCTCAGGTTTGTCTCTCCTTTAAATCTTTCACCCAAATCAACAAAGTTAGAATCTGAAACACAAATCTCAGCCTTACAACAAGCATAAAATAGTGGTCCCTCAATTTAGAACATGGCTGGCCTGCTCACTCAGAACTGAAGTGGAGCAGATTACAACAGTAGAACTAACTAAAATATTCCTTTATCTGCTACAATAAGTTAATCACCATTAATTAAATAAAGTACAACAAATTAATAACTCAATTCCTTTAATACAATATCAAACTAACATTGAATGGCACTTGTGTTTGGTGTCCTCAGGCAGACTGTCTTTTAGTTACTGAACATTGTTCCTACAGCTGCGCCTAGTGCTTCTACAAAATCCTGGACAAATTAAACTCTTTACTCTACATGATATTCAGCGCATTTCAGCTTGAAAATGTAATTTGACGCACATTGCTGTGTTTCCACATAGAGGAAACACCTCATTTTGTATGAATCACATCTTTGGTGAGGCTTTAAAGGAAAAAATACAGTACTGTAGCATATGAATCATAGGTAGATAGCTCTGAACTGAAAACAACCCTTAAAGCAAGACAGAATATAAAATAACTTCACAGAAGCAAATACTTAAAACCCGATCATACACACTGAAATCATAACAAAGGGAATGTAAGAAAAAAGGAGGCATTGAAAGATGGTCAGCATAAAAAGATCATGCATCATAAGCACACAAATATTTCCAGATCAGCACATTACATAAAACAAGCAAATATCGTACCTGATGAATGATATGTTTCAGGTCTTTTGAAGTTTAAGTACGAAGTGCTTGACAATCCAATGCGTTACACCGCAAATTTATTTCAACGATCCAAAACCCAGGGCCACTAGCCTTCATTGAAGGGAGCAAATATGCCCACACTAACCATGATTAATGCACTGCCGAAAGAGAGTCAGCTGGAGATAGCATATCCAGACAAAAATGATATGCATAGTACTACACTGTTACAAGCAGACAATAGATGATATAAGAATAGTCGTGCAATTCATGTCATTATGATCACTTATTAAAAATTAAAAAAAAATAATTTGGTCAGGCATAATTGATCATTTTTAAATGATAGATTGTTCCAAGCAATAAGTTTGGACCAAAAACATAAGAATACTAGTTACAGATTGGATAATAAACCTAATCTATGGTGCAGTAATACACAAACAGAAATGTTTTTGCTTTTTTAGACAATTTCTTTAGCTAACATACATAAAGCAAAAACTTGTAGCGAGCAAATTATCGCACCATAACACAGCCATTTCATTGTGTCGTCAACTCAACACGTACTGTCCAAAATAAAATCAGTAATTACACAAGAGGTAGAAGTAAAACTGAATCACATGGTCAATTGTTTAAAAGTTATCATACAAAATATAGGAGGGAAAAACATCCTGGACACTATCACACAGGCACATGGAAAAAATGCCAGGAACTATTGTGAAAGAAACCACTTGATGCCTTTCCATAGCATAAACCTGAGATCCTTGCACAATAGAAAACTAATATTGTCAAGAGAACTAATCTACATACCCAAGGCTTACAATTATGTAATGGCAAGATTGGAAAGGAGCAAGACCCAACAGTAACAGACCGGGTCTTCCCCAAAGCAGTCAATATTTTAATTGAAAATATCTCTTTACAAATTGAACAAAAATAAAAGTTCAGAATCATACTGAACAAAGTGCACAGCACCAACTACATACTTCTTTTTCTTACACCATTTTTAGTGCTATGAAAAAAAAGATTAACATCTATAGAATTGCTCCTGCAATAACATTTAAAAAAAACTGGGGCACCTTAGGCCACTTTACACTCAACATTTATGCTACTGCAGTAAGCGTATTTGAAAGATTGTTTGGCATGACATGCAAGTGACAGTCAAAGAACAATGGTCATCCAACAGCTGTTAGAGGGTTGACGTAAGTACACTTCTTCACTGGTTCTACCGTCGATCTGAAAGAATAAAAAGACAATTTAAAATATTTGTAATATTATTTAAAGTTACTAGAAAGTAACTTCTTTTTTCTAAATTAAAAAGGAAGGGATAAAAAGAGGTTCATGAATAACATAAGGGTCAAGTTCAAGACAAACATAACAATTAGGATTGTTAAGTCAAAATGAGCGATAACCTTTTATGTATTTGACGCACTTGAACACTTGAGGCACAAACAAGCAGAGTTCAAATTTCACAGGAGCTCAATAAACACATACAAGCACACGACAAAACCAGTTTCGGGTCACTGCAGGGCTACCACATGGCAGTCAAGAGTCAGGGCCACACCACACACATGCTGCACACTAAGTCTTAGGTGCTTTGAAAGCAAATAAAAACATTGATAAAGTAAACGGGACAAAAAGCCACTCTAGAAAACATTAAGAGACAAATGAAGGGTGGAAAACGCACACTTGGCAATGAAAATGAAATTTGAAATTGATTTCCAATCGAGAATGTGACAGGTTGATGTCAATTTTATTATGCATGAACAGCTTGGACAAACAATGAATGTGGCCAAGTGCACCAGTGTGGTGGTGTGTGTGCCACTTGAAACATGCATGGTGAGCGCTGCAGTAGTACCTGAACACTGACGACACTGAAGTGGATTTCGACCACGAGACCAGCATATCCTCACCTCGACGACGAGCTCGTTGCCAATCAATGAGGGCACGAGTAACATCATTGGGAAACAAGCGGGTTTCCAAACTTCTCATCACAAACCTGCGGACAACAAAAGACTCAATAGAACCACTTTTGAGAATGTTAAAAACAATCTAGATTGGTTACGAGAAGGCATTGTACCTCGGAAGCAATGCTGTGACAATTGACAGTGCCACTACACTCCAATGCACTGGTGATGAGAACGCTTTGAGAACTGCACCATAACTGGTTGAATAACCTATGTACGGTATTCTGATTGAGTTGTATAGAATAGTGAAAGCAAAGTAGATTACGAGTGACAGAACAATTGCAGCCAGATGTATTATAGTCTGAAAATTCACAGGAAAAAACAAACACATTAACAAGGTAAATGTACAAAGCATTAAGACCCATTTTCTTTAATAATAAAAATTAATAACTAAGCAATTACCCAGGAACGAATTTCAATGGCTGCTTGAAGCACCATGATAAACATACAGGATGTTGTGACTGTGGTACCAAATTGCCACAAGCCAACATCAGAATCATTGTAAGCCTGAAAAAGTGGACGAAAAAAATATAATTCCATTCATAATACAAATGCATTACCAGCAGACATTGAGGCATTCAATTGCACTTACTCCTCTTGCAACAAAGAAGACAACCAAGCTCTGATATAAACAATCTGCCATGGTGACCCAAAAGGAATGTGGTTTGTAAACTCTACCCAGACGGCCCTGACGATACAAATGTGGCTGGGCAAGCAAAATTTCTTCAGGTGCATCTTGGTCATAAATTCCTGAAAAAAGGTAAAAGCAATTAATAATAATAATCATTGACATAACTGTATAAGAAAATATATGTAGTTGTAATTAATTTCTTACCAATTGCAAATGGAGCAAAAGATGAGAACATTAAATTAAACAGCATGAGGAACATGTCATCAAGCATGATTTGACCAGAATAGCCACAGTAAAGCTGGTACCAAAAAATGAGGAACACAAATGTCTGAAAACAAAAACAACATAAGATGGAGGCAAACAAGAGATAAACTTTCGATTTTGTTGCTTGAAAACTTACAGCATTTTTGTAGAAAAAGTAAAGTATCATTGAAGCTAGCCGATGGTAACACCAATGTCCATGAACTAACAGAAATCTTTCTAAATACTTAAATCTCGACAAGGCAAAGTCTGACGCCATCACAGCCTGCATGCCTTCCTGCCCAGAGATGCCTATACCAATGTCTGCTGTTTGAATCATTGACACATCATTTGCTCCATCTCCAACAGCTAAAGTTCTCATCTTTAGCTGCTCTTTGACAACTCTCACAATGTAAGCTTTCTGTAAGGGAGTAGCCCGGCAGCAGAGAACAGAGGAGCAATGCCTTGTAAGTTCCAGAAATGGTTTTTGCAACTTGGACCGTCTGTCCAGAATGTACCTACAAGAGAGAAAAAATGAAGTAAGTAAACTATTTCAGAAAACAAGACAACACCAGACTTTGGTCCTCTAAATATAGCAACATTGACATACGTTAGAGACTTTCCATCCACAACGAGAGCTCTTTTACGACTCATCCTGACTCCAGCGGAATGCGACATGGTAGGCATAGGTCTGGCGTTGTTGTGGGAGGGAGGCACAGCATCCACACGCTCATTGGGTTTGGGGTGAATACCAGCTCCACCCACTCGCATACGGGTCACATTTGTTCCCCCTGTCAGAAGAGGCGGGTTGATTCTAAGGAACAGATAGACAAGGGTTATTAATGCAAGGTATTCAGCAGAATATTTACAGCAATGCAAAAGTTAGTAACTTACACAACAGGAGGATTATCTCGCTCAATCTCTGCAAGATAGAACGCTATTGTTCTTTCCGCAGCTTCTTTGGAGCGTGCAGATATTTTTAGAAGTTCCATTTGGGGTGAGAATAACTTCGCAGAGTATGCGACATTAATGGCAGTTTCTGGTTTGTCACCAGTTAGCACCCACAGGACGATGCCAGCACTCAAAAGAGCAGCTATTGTCTCAGGGACACCTTCTTGGAGCCTGTCTTCAATACCGGTCGCCCCAAGCAGAACGAGAGAGTTCTCCATGCTGCTGTACAGCTCTCTGGTCCGCTTTTCACGTTCTCGATGGTCATTTATCATTTCTATTTCTCCTTTGGTACGAACCCAATTAGCATAAAACTGTTCTGACAAAATTCGCTTAGCCATCACAAGAACTCGTAATCCTTGCTTGGCATACGAATTCAGGTGCTGCTGTGTCCGCATGATCATGTGTTTCATAGCTGAGTCATCAGTGGGAGCCAAAAGAGTAAGAATAGTGGAGTCAGCGCCCTTGGAATACAAGATAATTTCTCTTGTGTGAGGATGTCGAATAACAACAGACATGCATTTTCGGCTGGAGTCAAAAGGTAAAACTTGGAGAAGTTCAAATTCCATCAAACCTTCACCTGAGAAGGAAAATATTAGAAAATTTACAATCAGTTCATTAAATAACAGATGCAAGAAAATAATCAAAACAGCTTTTTACCAGGAACAAAAAGGGTGGCATAGTGTGCAGATTTGCGAACCAGTCGACAATTGTAGCTATATGCTGCCTCCACCAGAGCAATCTCGTCAGGGCTTTCTGCCTCAAATATTGGTTTCAGGTCACCCATGATTGGTGTTGTCCGACCTTGGCTGAGAGCTGGAGCACTACTCCCTGAAATAATACACAGAATATTAATAATAAAATGAATGAACAGAAAATGCATGTGTCAATGTCAATTGAACAATCAAATACCTCTTCTACTGGTCAAGCTGATGAAAGGAGGCACATTTAAGAGCCTCGGTCGTAGTGCAGATTTTTTCTTTCTAGAAATGGGGGGACTTGGCTGCAGATGAGAGGGGGTTGGAAAGGATGCAGATGTGTTGCCAAGACTGGAGAATCCAACAACAGGAGTGGAATCAACAGGGGTTGGTACAGAAGAGGCTTTCATTTGGTTGAGCATGCTTTTGGATGGGATGGGCTGGGGGGTGCTTGAAAGAGCAGACAGTGGAGGTGGCGATGGAGTCACTGATCGGGATTCAGTTAGTCTTGTGTATTTATCGCCATAAATTGTCTGAGGAGTCATGTTGGGAGTGGATGAATTAGAAGCGGAGATATTTTCTTGCGAGTGGAAGAGAAATTTTCCGCTAGTAGAGGGTGCATTTGGATGAGCACTGGAGGTACCAGCTCGAGCTCCTGCACTGTGCGGATGCTTTGATGTTGTCGGAGTAGTCTCTTCTGTGATAGGCTCGACTGTTATTGAATTATTTGGATCAAATAAATTTGGCACAGGATTTGATTCTATCACACCACTATCATTCATCTGCAATAAATAGAACATTGTTTAGAGTTTAGTTGCTTTGAATTGTCTCCCTGAAACACGAATGGAAACTTACCATATCATGATGAGGATGCCTGGCAACAACTACAGTATTACAAATAGCAAGAACAAGAAGAAATTCTTGCAGTTTCTGTGAATGAGCTGATCTGCCGACAAGCGCAGCACTTGCTGCACCCCCTGCATCTTTCGCATTGTCATTGGCTGACTGGGATCCCACATAGTCCGAGTCAGAGGCCATCTCTTGAGTAAAATCAACAACATCCTTCGACTTATGTGACATACTCAGTTGGGCTAATTCTTCCAAAAGAACAGGATTCACTGTGACTGGTATTGGAATCCCTGGTCTAAGTCTAAGAGTCTGCAAGCAAACAGAGTAAACAAGCATAATAGAAATCACTCTCAAAGAACCAAGGCAAATTTTGACACAGAGAGCACTTTACCTCTATATTCTCTGGAGGAGGGTGGTTGTAGTCCACACCCCCAATAGCACATCTCCTGAACAACATTTTATTTTCAGTCAAAGTTCCTGTTTTGTCAGAAAAAATATATTGCACCTGAAATGTAAAAGAAGAAAAATGAAGGGAAATCAAACAAAATGTTTTGAACAGTTATTGAGACTGACAACCATAGGATGGCTACAAACCTGTCCCAGTTCTTCTGTTATGTTCAAAGCTCTGCATTCAATACGCTTGTCAGTCAGAGGATCGTACAAGTCTTTATTGTGGTGAATGTGATACACTTGAGCAAGTTTAGTCATTTCAATACTAACATATAGTGACAGTGGTATCATAATCTGCAACAGAACATAAAACCACAAATATAAAATCAAGCCTCCACAAACATATGGATTGGGAAATTTTGAGGGCTTCAATTGTTTACCTGAAGAATGATGATGAAAGTCCAAAAGGCAAGGAAGCCTTCACAGGATGGTGTTCGTTGGATCAAATTTGGAATGAAGGGAATAAACTCTTCCGGGTCATAGCCCTGCAGCCAGAACCTGCAGCCGACAGCCCCCACGACGCACAGCACTATCAAGATGACGACGCACCAGATGATGTCCATGTTCATTTGTCGCTCCAGTTTAGAGCGCTTGTACCTGGGACCGCCGTTGTTCAACATGGCCTTGGACTCGTGACCTGGAAACCCGATAACAATGTTTAGTCATTTTGAGCCAATGGTATTGAATTTTCCAATTTTTTTCTTTCTTTAAAATTTTTAAAATTTCCAAAATTTCCGAAACATTTAAAAAATTAAAATTTTTAAAAAATTAAAAATTTTTAAAAAATTTAAATTTTTTAAAAATTTAGTAAACGTACCGGCGTAGACGACGATGCCCTCGACGAAGTCAGTGTTCTTGAGCACGCACTCGCGCAGCAGCAGGTTCTCGGTGCCCACGGGCACGGTGGCGCCCGAGGGGTGCACCAGGGTGCCGTGGAAGCGGTACATCTTGGTGGTGGGCGGGTCCACCTCCACTTTGCTGCGGAACAGGCTCGGCTCGAACGTGCGGTACTTGTCCACGAAGCCGCGCGCCACCTGCACCAACAATTCAGTCATTTTATACGGGGTCTTTCCGTCTTTTCAAAACTGGTTTTCGATTTCCTCTGACTTTTCCCCGATTTTTCCTCTCATAAAATAGCACATTCCTCTGACAATTTAGCCGAGTGAAACATTGATTCATCGGTAACACAATATTTGAACACAAGTGCATGATTGGGTATCTTTTTTCACTAATTGGCAGTTGTTTTGATCAAAACAATTTTCCCCTGACATTTTGAAAAAGTAAAATAAAAATTCCAAACATTTCCCTTGAACTGACACATATTCCTCCCCTGACTTTTCCCCCGATTTCCAGGTTTTCAACATTTTCAAAAACCCTGTTTAGTGATTGAGAAGAAAAGCAATCGTATTTTGAAATTTCAAAAAACGCATAAGGGACCATACTGCATGATAAAATTACTGAACTTGCGGAAGCTAAAAGGCTACTTCGTGCTTTACTGAAAAAAAAAAAAAAAAAAAGGAAGAGAGGGAAAAGAGTTGAGCCAGTGACCGACCTGTCGGGGCTTGAGGTTGGTCTCGCCGTCCAGGTTGCACGTGTCGATGTAGCACATTCCGTTGGGGTCGGAGCTCCGCAGCAGCAGCACGTCGGCAGGGATCACCTCGTTGTTGGACAGGTGCACCAGGTCGCCGACGCGGAGGTCCTGCCACAGCAGCCGCCTGTAGCGGCCCGCCTCGCTGCAACACAAAACAGAAAAAAAGCACGTCAGCGAAATCACTTCTTCAATCGATATTTCAAGGGGAGCACAGGCGTGGATTTTATTACTGGGAAAAGAGGTAAGTGTGTGTGTGTGTGAGTAATGGGGGTAATTCACCCCTCCCACCCCCATTTTTTTTAAAGGGCGCGTGGAGGGCTTGAAAGAAGCAGGCCTTTGCTCATGTAAAGGCAAAAACCGCTAAATCTAAGAATAAACTCTGGTTCTCTCTTGAGGGGGACCCATTGATGAGAATTTGTTCAATATACAAATTTGTAAGAGCGAAAACAACAGCAACAAAAAAGCATCACAATTTCCCACCCGGCATCTTTGTTAGTTGGAGAGAATTAACGGTCCATGGGTTTCGTCAGAGGCCACGTCTATTTCAGATTATAAGTTTCAATTGAGCGCCAATCAGAGAGGAGGCAGCAATGATGAAACTCGAGGAAACGTGTGCCCATGATCGCAAAATGAGGCGAGAAAAAAGATGTAAAAAATAAAAACAAAAAACACACACACGCTGACCGACACCTTCCCTTGCACCAGCCACGCGACGCACAGTGGGCCAGAAGACCGGTGGAGGCGGTCAAAACTCTAGACGCGTTTTGAGCTCCAGAGTCGCTAAATGGTACTCGAACCGAACGTGTGACCCCACCAATGGATTGCCCTCCGAACGAGGAATCCATTGGTGGGGTCACACGTTCGGTTCGAGTCCCATTTAGCGACTCTGGAGCTCAAAACGCGTCTGGAGTTTTGTCCGCCTGCACCGGTCTTCTGGCCCACTGTGCGACGCTCTCCGGCACGCTCCGGCATTCCAGTGGCCGCGCGACGCCGCGACGCGCAAGCAGGCAGACGCAAGCGCGTCCTCGGTCGCCCGTTCGAGAAAAATGCGGTTCTCAACTCAATGAGCGCTCGTCGCTTGCGTCGCCGTCACCACACTGTTAAACTGTTGGATTGTCACTCGATGACGATTTCAAGGCTCATTGTCCTAGCAAGACAAGAATGTCATCAGACCAGTTGTTGACATTGACTTGACACCTATGCAATTAAGTGCAAGAGCTTCGATAGAAATGTCTTCAATTCGTGATGACATTGTTAGTAGTTTAAAATTTGAGATTCAGTGTCTGAATTAGTGGTTCAGGCGCGTGGTACTAAAATTTCAGTAAAAAACTAAAACTTCCAGTGGAGTGGTGAAAATGTCATCCACGATTTTGCCACAATGTGCCAGCACATTTCCTGTCCCATGGGTGGGCGCTGCATGACTCGTGGGCGGACAGGGCGGAGGAGCTAAGGGAGGGGGAGGGGGGGGGGAGGGCTTTCTTACAGTGTGACTGACGGCATGCCGGACGACGTCACCAAGTGGTCTGTAATCACGCTCGGTGCTCGGACTAAAGGCAGTCGCATTACATCGACCGGACAGCCGCAAAGTCGCAAAGCTGCCTCTGCTGCCTGGATTTCGATATCTAGCAGGGCCACAGGCCTGGCAGCGCACAGTGGGCGGTGGAGGCGGCCAAAACTCTAGACGCGTTTTGAGCTCCAGAGTCGCTAAATGGGACTCGAACCGAACGTGTGACCCCACCAATGGATTCCTCGTTTGCACAGCAATCCATTGGTGGGGTCACACGTTCGGTTCGAGTGCCACTTAGCGACTCTGGAGCTCAAAACGCGTCTAGAGTTTCGGCCGCCTCCACCGGTCTTCTAGCCCACTTGCGCTGGCGTCTCTAGTCCAGACGACCGGGACGGCCGCGCCAGCCGAGCGATCCAGAAGATCGGTTCGACGCTCTGTCTCTCTCGCACCCTTACGGCGAACCCCACGAGTGCGAGAGAGACAGAGCGACCAAACGACCCTTTCGAATCGGCCGGCAGAATGTCAGAATGGCGAGCGGGGCGTCGATAAGACGATAAGATAGGGGACCCTCGTCGTCGTTGTCCACGCAGGGCAACGCCGGGCAGCGCCGTGACGTCAGAGAGGGCTCGGCGAAATAGATGCTTCGCGATGCAACAAAAAAAAGTAAAAGAAACAGTTTTGAGCATGTGAAGTGATAGCGATGAGGTGTCAGCTAAAAAAAAGTGACTCAGAGAGGGAGAGAAAGGAAGGAAGAGAGAGAGGGAGTGATAGGGAGAGAGAGGGAGAGAGAGAGAGGGATGGAGAGAGAGAGGGAGGGAGAGGGAGGGGGAGAGGGAGGGGGAGAGGGAGGGGGAGAGGAGAGAGAGAGAGAGAGAGAGAGAGAGAGGAGAGAGAGAGAGAGAGAGAGAGGGAGGGAGGGAGGGAGGGAGAGAGGGAGGGAGGGAGGGAGAGAGGGAGAGAGAGGGAGAGAGAGCGTGAGGTGGGCCACGGGATAAGACAAAGACAGCCCCTGCAGCGCTGCCATAAGCGGTTAAACACATGGCCGAGGAAAGGCTAGAGAGCCCGGACGTCTGGACGTCGTCGCCGCGTGTCGAACAGGTCACGGCAGGAAGCGATGCGGCGACGCGAGGCACACTGCTAGTAGATTAGCGCGCGGACGGACAGATAAGCGGCGATACCGCACAAGGCCGCCGCGGCCACCCCGCGTTGTCTGCCTCTCTCGCACGCACGGGGCGCTCCCTGCGGGTGCGAGAGAGACAGAGCCAATTTGGCGCCACTTTTTCGGGTCGGGTGAACCCATCCATCCGACAAGGGGCCTTCAGCCGCAGCATACGCTGCGCTGAGGAGAGGCAATCTTGACCTGAGCAGGCCTCCAATCGGCTCGCCTGCTGCACGGTGAAGAAAGTCATCTTGGCTGGCCGAGCATGACGGGGCGGGCCCGAAAGGCAGACGATCACTTGTGGTCCAGCCGTTAATCGCAATCGCAGTGTGGTCTAGCCCTTAATGGTAATGGTAATGCAGGGTAGGCAACAGCCTCACACGCGAGCCAGGCGGGCTAGCCTACCCGGCCCCCGCGAGCGCCTGCCGGGTAGGCAACAGTCCGACACGCGCGCCAGGCGGGCTGGCCCACCCTGCATACCATTACCATTAAGGGCTGGACCACACATGACGGCGGCGACCAAGCCCTGCCTTGGCCCTGCACAGTGGGCTCGAGTGGGCCAGAAGACAGGTGAAGACGGCCGAAACAGACGCGTTGACCTCCAGAGTCTCTAAATAGGACTCAAATCGAACGTGTGACCCCACCAATGGATTGCTCTCCGAACGAGGAATCCATTGGTGGGGTCATACGTTCGGTTCGAGCCCTGTTTAGCGACTCTGGAGCTCAAAACGGGTCGGGAGTTTTGGCCGCCTGCACCGGTCTTCTGGCCCACTGTGCCCTGCCCTGGCGACGCGGCTCCTGGTTTGAATTCACCGGGATTGGAACGGGGGCCTCAGAGGGAGACAGGAAAAGAGGGAAGGGGAGGGGGAAGGGTCGCTGAACCAATCTTCGCCATCCTTGCCATGTTAGCATGGCCGTCCCCGCGCTGTCGCCAGACGAATTTCCGCACACCCCATCCCCCTCCCCAAAGGTGCTCTAGGGTCGCCAAATGGGACTCGAACCGAACGTGTGACCCCACCAATGGATCGCTCTCCGAACGAGGAATCCATTGATGGGGTCACACGTTCGGTTCGCGTCCCATTTAGCGACTCTGGAGCTCAAAACGCGTCTGGAGTTTCGGCCGCCTCCATCGGTGGTCCTGGCCCGCCATTCCCGCCTGGCCCGCCAGGCCCGCCATTCATGAAGCCATTTCACAAGCTCGCTCTTTAAAAAACAAAAAAAAAAAACAAAAAAAACAAAAAAAAAGGCTTGTGCGGGGCCGGCGGCCATTTGTCAACGGTATGGACAGTGAACGTGCGACATTGAACAGCAGTTGGCGGCCGACATGGAATGGCGCTAAGTGGAGCTTGCACACGCGGGGGAGGGGAGAAGGGGAGGAGGAGGGGGGGAAAGGGGGGGAGGGGGACGAGAGGGGTAGGAGGGGAGGGGAGGGGGCGAGAAGACTGGAGGGGTGGGAACGACAAAGTCGCTACAAACCCGCAGATCGAAACCTGTAGTGGCAATCCCCATGCCGCACACAGTGTGCCAGTGCCACACACACACATGCCAAATGGAAAGTCAACGGGAAAGGGTGTGGTGTGGGCTCGCTCGGATGTGGGCCACGCCGACAGGAAAAGCGTCACAATATCGCACAGAGCAAGCAAAAGCCCTTTCCTCAGAATAACTAACAAGCAACATAATTTTTCTTTGTTGGCAGAAGCAACGGGTGAAGTTATCAACCGAATAAGCCACAATCGTCTCAAACGCCCCCCCCCCCCCCTCTCCCTCTCCCTCTTTTCCTCCTAGGACGCAGGCGGCAAAGAAAGAGAGAGAGAGAGAGAGAGAGAGAGAGAGAGAGAGAGAGAGAGATGAGTGTTGTGCGCGTGCCCGCTCGGCGGCACGCTCCTGTTTGGTTAGTCCGACGCGGCACCAACCAAATTGGCCCCCGACACGCACGGCTTCAATCTCCAATCCTTCAATCTTCAATCCGCGCCGCGCGAACGTTTGATTCGCCTTCACCAACCCACCATCTGTCTCGACTCCTTTCTTCAAAAGCGATTTGTTTTCCCGCGTCAAGTCTTTGCCGTCCCGCGGGGCCTGCAGACTGATTCCTCTAGAGTCGTTTTCGTCGCTCTGTCTCTCTCGCACTTAAGCGGGACGCCCCTAGAGTGCGAGAGAGACAGAGCGACGAAAACGACTCTCGGAATCAGTCTGTTGTCACCTTACGCACGTCTCACCCGCACGCTAAGCGACGAGCACACTCGCACAAAGGGGGAAAAAACAGCACCGCACTGTAAAAAATTTACTGCCATTTCATGACGATAAAGTAGTGACAAAGTCACCAAAAACTGGTGACGGGAGAGGGTCAGAATAGAGTACTAAGCTTGAAGCCACACTCTCAATGTTGTATAGTGAAGATTCTCTATATTATGGTGAAAATGTTCTAAGTGGTGCAGCTGACTATATAACATACCATGGAGAATTGACTGTACCTTAA